AGTGCTGGGATTATAGGCTGGGATATATATATTTATATATATAAATGTATATTTTGTAACTTTTTTTTGAGATACAATCAATGTACCATGCAATTCACCCATTTAAAGCGTGTACCATTCGGCCAGTCGTGGTGGCTCACCCCTGTAATCCCAGCACTGCGGGAGGCTGAGGCAGGTGGATTGCCTGAGGTCAGGAGTTCAAAACCAGCCTGGCCATCATGGTGAAACCCCATAACTACAAAAATACAAAACTTAGCCGGGCATGGTGGCACGTGCCTGTATTCCCAGGATTATTATTTTTTTTCAAAAAATAAATAAAGTGTACCATTCAATGGTTTTTAGTATATTCACAAAATTGTGCAACCATCACCACGATCGATTTTACAACATTTTTATCACCCCAAAAAGAAACCCCAAGCAAATTAACACTCACTCCCCATATTTCCTAACCTCAAAGCCTTGGACAATCACTTAATCTTTGGTCTGTCTCTGGGGATTGGCCTATTCTAGACATTTCATGTAAATAGAATCCTGAAACCTGCAGCCTTTTGTGACTGGTTTCTTTCACTCAGCATAATGTTGTCGAGGCACATCCAGTTGTAGCATGCATCCATACTTCATCCCCCCCCTTTTTTTTTTTTTTTTTGAGATGAAGCTTTGCTCTTGTCACCCAGGCTGAAGTTCAATGGCACAATCTTGGCTCACTGAAACCTCCGCCTCCTGGATTTAAGCAATTCTCCTGCCTCAGCCTCCTGAGTAGCTGGGACTACAGGCGCCCGCCACCACGCCCAGCTAATTTTTGTGTTTTTGGTAGAGACAGGGTTTCACCATGTTGACCAGGCTGGTCTTGAACTCCTGACCTCAGGTGATCCACCTGCCTCAGCCTCCCAAGTGCTGGGATTATAGGTGTGAGCCACCGCGCCCAGCGTCCTCATCCCTTTTTATGGCTGAACAATACTCCATTGTACAGATATACCACATGTTTATCCATTCATCAGGTGACGGACTTTGGGTTGTTTCTGTCCTTTGTCGATCATGGATAATGCTGATGTGCACATTTGTGTACAAGTATTTGTGTGGACGTATGTTTTCACATCTACAGTAGATATTTTCATTTCTAGAGTAGATATCTACAAGTGGAATTCCTGGGTCATGTGTAACTCTACTATTTTGAGGAACTCTCACATTAGATTTATTTATTTATTATTTATTTATTTATTTTAGATGGAATCTCCCACTGTTGCCCAGGCTGGAGTGCAGTGGCAGGATCTTGGCTCGCTGCAACCTCCACCTCCCGGGTTCAAGCGATTCTCCGGCCTCAGCTTCCCGAGTAACTGGGATTACAGGCATGTGCCACCACACCCGGCTAATTTTTGTATTATCAGTAGAGACGGGGTTTTGCCCTGTTCGCCAGGCTGGTCTCGAACTCCTGACCTCAGGTGATGCGCCCACCATGGCCTCCCAAAGTGCTGGAATTACAGGCATAAGCCACCGCACCTGGCCTCACATCGTATTTAAAATGTTCATTAATTCACCCATCTCCTTCAGTGCTGTGGTATCTCTTTGAGGGGATGTTGCCATCTTGTTCATACCTAATATGGTGCTGGTACAGACCAGATGCTTCATAAATGTTTGCTGAATTCATCAACCAAAGTGCTCTGGTATGAAAGCATTGAAAGAAAACATTGATGAGCTCATTTCAATGGGCTAGTCATAAGAAAGCACACATCCAGGAGCCTGAAATTTGCAAGTTTATGTATCACCGGGCTTAAGGTCTTTCTCAAGCAGAAGAGTGAAATTTGGGGTGCTCTGTGAAGAACTGACTTAGATAACCAAGATGACGTTACCGTTCTCCCCGGTCTGGCTAAACTTTAGAAGGCTTCTTCCCAGCTGTAGGCCCCTGACCTCCCTTTTCTTGTCACAATCACTTTAGAAAACTCGGAATTGTAGCCAGGCATGGTGGCTCATGTGGGTAGTCTCAGCACTTCGGGAGGTCGAGACAAGGAGGACTGCACGAGTTCAGAAGTTTGAGACCAGCCTGGGCAACACAGCAAGACCTTATCTCTTATTAAAAATAGTAATTTTTAAAAAATTAGCCGGGCGTGATGGCATGCACCTGTTGTCCCAGCTACCCGGGAGACTGAGGTGGGAGGATCCCCTGAGCCCAGAAGTTCGAGGCTGCAATGAGACCTGATTGTGCCACCACACTCCAGCCTGGGGGACAGAGTGAAACTCTGTCTAAAATAAAATAAAATAAAATGAAAATAAAGAAAAATGAAAATTAAAAAGAAAGAAACTTGCAATTGCAAATTCTTTCTCTGACTTTTTGAAATATACGCAGCATCTTTCAGCTTTACAACCCAGTAAATGTCTTTCTTAAGGACCAACCTAAGGATAATTTTTTTTTTTTTTTTGAGACAGGGTCTCAGTCTGTCACCCAGGTTGGAGTGCAGTGGTGTGATCACAGCTCACTGCAGCCTCAACCTCCTTGAGGAGGAGTGATCCTCCCACTTCAGCCTCCTGAGGAGCTGGGACTACAGGCATGTGTCACCATACCCTGCTAATTTTTTGATATTTTGTAGAGACAAGCTCTCCCTATGTTGCCCAGGCTGGCCTTGAACTCCTGGGCTCAAGCAATCCTGCTGCCTTGGCCTCCCAAAGTGATAGGATTACAGGCATGCACCACCACAGGTGCCTGGGGTCATTTTTTGAAAAGCAAACATCGAAGGAGGTAGCACCCTATCTCCTGATCTCTGTGGAAAGGTAGGGGCATAAATTCAGCAGACACCTTACTCTGAGCTGTGAAGACCAATTAGCAAACATAGTGGCTTATGATTACCTACCCCTGCAGCTCTTTAAACCACTCCAGCTCCTTGGTTCAGCAGAATCGAGCCCAGGTTCTCTCCTCTATTGCACAACTCTTTTATTATTATTATTTTAAAAATAGAGACAGGGTCTCACTATGTTGCCCAGGCTGGTCTCGAACTCCTGGGCTCAAGCAATCCTCCTGCCTCAGCCTCCCTAAGTGCTGGGATTACAAGCGTGAGCCACCATGCCTGGCTGAGTGCACAAGTCTTGAATGAAGCCTTTTTTGCCTGTTTAACTTTGTTGAGTGTTGATGATGGCATTGACTCAATACACCACTTGGTCTACCAGGAACTGAGGGCATAACTCATGTAAAGTTGAAATGACTCTTGGGGAGAGGTGTTCATGTAAATAAGGTCGCAGAGGATGCCACGGCCCACTTATAAGTGTTAACTTGAAACAAACATTCAAAAGCCCATTAATATACCTCATGTTATGAATATATAGTTGGCTGGGCATGGTAGCTCATGCCTGTAATTTCAGCACTGTGAGAGGCTGAGGTAGGAGGAATGCTTGAGCCCAGGAGTTTGAGACCAGCCTAGGCAACATAGGGAGACCCTGTCTCTACAAAAAATTTAAAAATTAACCAGGTGTGGGCCGGGCACAGTGGCTCACGCCTGGAATCCCAGCACTTTGGGAGGCCAAGGTGGATGGATCACCTGAGGTCAGGAGTTCGAGACCAGCCTGACCAACACGGAGAAACCCCATCTCTATTAAAAATACAAAATTAGCTGGGCATGGTGGTGCATGGCTGTAATCCCAGCTACTCAGGAGGCTGAGGCAGGAGAATTGCTTTAACCCGGGAGACAAATGTTGCAGTGAGCCAAGATTGCGCCATTGCACTCCAGCCTGGGCAATAAGAGTGAAATTCTGTCTCAAAAAAAAAAAAAAAAAAAATTAGCCAGGTGTGGTGGCACCTGTAGTCCCCGCTACTCCCGAGGCTGAGCAGGAAAGGATCACTCGAGGCTGGGGAGGTGAATGCTACAGTGAGCTATGATTGCAACACTGCACTCCAGCCTGGGCAGCAAAGCAAGACCCTGTCTCCAATAAATAAATAAATAAATAATATATTGTGTTATTTCATTTCACTTCATTCTCAGAGGACTAATGATGTCCCTGAGAGTCCCCCATTTGGTAGGGATGAAGTAAGGATTGTACCAAAGGGCAAATTGTGACCTTGGAACCAGGGGACTGTCAGAACTCAGCCTCCAGGAGCCTCGTGGAGAATACAGATGAACATCCTTCCTCAGGTCTCAGGAGCAATAAGAAGGAAATGCTGTAGATATGATGTGAACGGTTGTGTGTTGGGCAAGAGAGTGACGGTTTAAAAAAAAATTTTAACTCCTTTGACATCCCTCGGAGCTGACTGTGTTGACACAGATGAGTGGGGAAAGTGAGAGTCCCATGAGTCAGGACCACATTTCTGTATTTTTTTCTGGTTCCTTATTTCTCTGTGAAAGACCCAGTTCTCTAGTGCTGAGCCAGAGCATCCTGGAGCATCCAGATAGCATTTCTCCTCTCGGGCCACAGAAATAGGATCTGTCTCCATGACAATGGTGTCTAGAAGTCCCCCCATGAGATTAAGTCTGACAGGAGCTGTCCACTTAGCAAATACCAGGTCTCCATCCAGACTGAATCAGCGTCACAAGCCGTGTGTCCTGCTCCCAGCTTGACCAATGACTTCCTTGAGTCTATAGGGAAACTTGTAAACTCGCTGGCATATCACCATTGCCCCCCACGTGCCACACAAGGAGGCCATAAAACATTTGTCTCCCCCCCCATCACAACTAGGATATAGAATGTGCTAGCTGAGAGGACTTGGCCTCTTGGCCTTGCTGTCTTTAAAGGGCTCTGGGACGCGTGGCCCCGGGGGTTTGTGTTTGGCTTGGCAGTGAGCATCAGCTGGGAGCAGTGCATCAGGTTAGCTGTTCTCTGGTCACTGTCAGCATGACCCACGTCTGTGTGTCACCCTGATGGGTGTTCCAGTCATTATGGGCCCTTCTTGCCTGACATTTGGATCAAAACTCCCCCATTGATCCCCTCTTCTTCCTCATCCCCACCCATGCTTCAACCCTGAGGACCAGGGCCCTAACGTCCCTGGAGCAGGTGCCAGGACCTCCTTGACACAGCCCTTGGTCTCTGGAACCCTGACTATTAGGATGAGCCTTCCCAGCAGCAGATCCCCAGACACGGACATTGGAAAGGCCACTCCAAGACTGTCTCAGCCAGGGCCCTAACTACAAGCTCTGCTTCTGGAGACGTTTGCCAGGTGCCAAAAACATCTCCGGTGCTCCGTCCAGGAGCAGCCAATAGAGAGGGCAGCCCGGCCCCCTCCTCCTCTCCCCCAGTGGCATCCCAGCCTCCTGCCTCTCTCTCTCTCTTCCCTCCCCACTCCTCCCTCTCGCCTGGGCTGCCTGCCTCAGAAGTGAGGACCTGGGAGGGTGCAGGACGCCTGGTCTGCCCTGTGGGTCCTGGACGGAGCCCCCACCTCTGCAAAGATGACTTGGAAACAGGCCCTCCTGCTGTCTTGCTTCTCCGCCGTGGTGCTCCTGTCTAGTGAGTACGGGAGGGTCAAGGTGGAGGGTGTTAGTTACATGGTAAGGGAGACTTGCCAGGCACAGGTAAGGCTGCTCAGGAGATGCAGGTAAAAACGGGTATGCTTATTGTTAGGCGGTGTGTGTGTGTGTGTGTGGGGGTGTGTGTGTGTGTAGAACACAATGTAATACAGAAAAAAAAAAAAGTAAAGAAAGAAACAAAATAGAAAGAAAAACTCAGGCTAACTTGCTTGGTGGGTTCCTGGGGAGACTGGCTCTGCAGCTGGTATGTGAGACAGCACGGGGCCCCTGCCAGGGCCTGACAGGACGCTTAGCCTGGAAAGCAGGATGGGGGCTCAACTCAGGGTCTGGGCTCCCCTCTGACACTGCAGCCTCACTCTGTGCCCTTGTCCTGCAGTACTGAGAGAGGGAACCGGTGCATCTGTGGGCACCACACAGGCGGCGGAAGAAGAGGCGAGTGAAGGTGAGTGCAGGGGCCACCCACGGGGCAGGGCAGGTGCAGCCAGTGAAGCAGCAGCCCGGGCATCCCCATGCTGCTGGTAACAGGCCTCTCCTGGGTTTCAGATGCAAAACAGAAGATTTTCATGCAGGAATCAGATGCCTCGAATTTCCTCAAGAGGCGCGGCAAGCGGTCCCCCAAGTCCCGAGATGAGGTCAATGGTAAGGATGCTGGAGGGATCCCCCCATCACCACCTCTGCTTGCATGTCCCGGCTCCTCCTCTCCCAGTCAGCCAGGCGGTAGGATGCAACCAGATACCAAGGGCTCACCCCAGGTCCTTGGGTTTCAAAGGGACTGCAGCTCTGAATGAGAAATTACACCCTATTTCCTGACTGTAGGTCGTACATTGGATTGAATACTTTGTCAGGGTAAGGAGGCCCCACCTCTGCAAAGATACTTGGAGACAGGTCCTCTTGTCCCGCTTCTTGGCTATGTTAGATTACTACATTAAATGCACCTAACAGGGATAAAATGCATTCGATTTCAGAAAGGTGTAGGGAGGGAAATCTATGTTCCGGTCTGGAGGAGCTCCACACATCAGTGTGGGCTTTGCGAGTACTGGCACAGCACACCTTCTGTGTAAAAGCAACAGCTTCGCACAAGGGGAAGGCACAGGACACTGGGTGCTGAGAAATGTGGGTTTGGGGACAGCTGTGCTGCTAAGTGGCCTTGGCTACTTCCTCCCTCTGGTCCTAATTTCCTTATTTACAAGCCTCTGAAAGAGCTGTGTTCAACCGGCAGTTTTTTTTTAAGTTTTCATTTTCAATGCACTGGGGTGAGCCTGTCTGCACAGCCTGCTGTAGGGCCTGTGGAGTCCCGGCTTCAGGGTCCTCATGCCTTTGACCTGTCAACCCCTGAGGGCATTTGAGTTTCTCCTCCTGAATCTGCTTCTTCCAAGACGCTGAGCTTAGACCCTACCGCCCAAGTCTCTGGCTTGAGTCTTTCCTCCTCGTGCCTGTGCGTGAATGAACTCTTTGTATTCTTCAGGGCACTCAGCAAAGTGATTTGCTTGGTAAAAATAACAGGACTGTTTTCAAATGATGGGAAGAACAGAGATAGAAATGCTTGGAGATGAAATTTCTTTAAAAAAAAAATTCTGATAAGCATAACAATGCTAGGAAAACCTCCAGGCCTCATACAACTTGATATTTAAAAGTTGGTCAATGTCAAGAAGCACTGAAAGGTTGGGAGGGAAGCTGGACTGTTCTTGATCAAAATTGAAAAAGCAATCTTCTGACAGACTTCCAGGAGAAATGCACGATTTTAGGCCAGGCAAATAGCTTCTGTCCTCTTTTTTTTTTTTTTTTGAGCTGGAGTCTCACTGTCACCCAGGCCGGAGTGCAATGGCAGGATCTTGGCTCATTGCAACCTCCACCTACCAGGTTCGGGTAATACTCCTGCCTCAGCCTCCCATGTAGCTGGGATTACAGGTGCTTGCCACCATGCCTGGCTAATTTTGGTCTAGAACTCCTGACCTCAGGTGACCCACCTGCTTCGGCCTCCTAAAGTGCTGAGATTACAGGCATGAGCCACCGCGCACAGCCTCTTCTGTCCCCTTAAGCTGACTCCAAACAATGAGTACACCATTTAACCTGAAGCTCCTCACCTGGGACAGAAGCTCGGTGTGTCTATTAGTCATGGGAGGTGCAGGACAGCCTGGTGAACACCCAGATGTGTGAACGCATCTGTTGTCACCCGGTCAACTCCTGTGGATGGCTGGAGGGCAGTGCCCAGCGATCCCTCAGGTTGGATAAAGGGCAGGTGACAGACACTTCAATCAACTTGAATTTGGAACCAGGAGACAGGCATCTGACATCTCTACGCCTCTGGGATAAAGGGTGAAAAGAGAGTGTGATGAATGCATGTTCTTGAGAAGGAACGTACACAATGCACAGAATGATGCATAGTATAAAATTACTATCTTGTCCTGAGGATTAAATTGTTACTATTCATAACCTCAAAGCTCCAGTTTGTGGCACCTCTGAAAAGGCCATTTGGGAATATTATTTCCTGTCCTGAGTACACAGGGGACAGAGAATGTTTCTTTAGGAATTGGCAGTGACTTACTAAGTACCCGCTTCCTAAACCCTAAGCCCCCGCACCTCCCACCATGGCTTTCTGGCACTTGGAGCAACATCAGGACCCACAGTGGGTGGGAAGAGGGAAGCTGAGCTTGCAGTGGCGTGTGGGAGCCTGGTGTCCTAGCTCTCCCCCAACCTGCTGTGTGACCTCTGTTAGGTCATGCATGTCTCTGAGCCTGAATCTCCTCTGAGAAATGTGTGGATGCCGAGTGAGAGGTGGGGCATGGGTATGGATGGGATAACCAACCCCTCCTGACAGACTCAAGTTTCTTGCAACTAAGTAGGTAACGGCAGACATTTGGGAAGAAACATTCCAGACGTCTGGAATCTGCACTAAGCCCAGTTCACAGTTAACTTGATTTTTAATCTGAGTTAACTTAAATAATAAAAAAGTAACAGAAATAACTAGTATTTATATAATTCATTAACGTAAGCGTCTTACTTCCAAGAAGGATTTGAGATGGTTTCTGTTTGCTTATTTATTTATTTTGAGACAGAGTCTTGCTCTGTTGCCCAGGTTGGAGTGCAGTGGCGCGTTCTTGGTTCACTGCAGCCTCCACCTCCCGGGTTCAAGTGATTCTCCTGCCTCAGCCTCCTGAGTAGCTGGGATTATAGGCGCCTGACACCACACCCGGCTAATTTTTGTATTTTTAGAAGAGACGGGGTTTCGCCATGTTGGCCAGGCTGGCCTTGAACTCCTGACCTCAAGCGATCCGCCTGCCTTGGCCTGTCAAAGTGCTGTGATTACAGGCATGAGCCACCGCACCTGGCCTGAGATGGCTTCCAATATTATCATTTTGCAAAGACTTTTCGTTGCTTCTCCCAGCACCTCTGTAATGTGGGTTGGGGGATAGGGAACCATGACTTTCCCCTTTCTCTGCTTCCTTCATCATCCCCCAGCCTCCTGTTGCACATCAGAGTTGATGGGGCAAAAAACCAGTACCTCCGTCTCCCTCATTTGATGTGAGGGGAATCCCACTGTGAGACTGTGAGGCGTGCTGAGGGACCGGTTCTTCTTGCCCTAGACATGGCCTCCCTGGCTTCTTGGGTTTCTCCAGTTGAAGCTCGTGTTGGGGGAAATACCTTGAAAGGAGAGACCTTTACATCGTTTCCTCCAGACAACCGGGAATTTTTATTCCAACAGCTGTAATGCTTGGTAGAACTTGTCTTATATCTTTCTCCTTATTGAACTATAGGTCTCTTAAGCAGAGGGAAGGATTTTGTTTATTTTTTGAGGCAGGGTCTCGCTCTGTTGCCTGGGGTGGAGTGCAGCAGTGCGATCATATCTCACTGCGGCCCTGAACTCCTGGCCTCCAGCAACCCTCCTGCTTTAGCCTCCTGCTTTAGCCTCCCTAGTAGCTAAGCTCATAGGCGTGAGCCACCATACTTGGCTGGAGGGATGGAATCTTTCTTACTTGGCTTTTTAATTCCAGTGCTTAGCCTACATCCTGGCCGTGATAAGTGTTTGAAAATGTTGCATGGCTGTGAGATGAAGTTGGATTATTCCTTTACGGAATTCATTTCTCAGCATGGGATTTCTGGTTTCCCAGTGGCCTGGTATACTTGGATACACCACCAATTTTATCAGCAGAGCTAAATCATTTTACTCTTTGGGGCCTCTGTCTTCTCACCTGCAAATGAGGCAGCTGGATCCGACAATCACCTTCAAATTTTAAAGTCTATGTCAGGAGTAAATAATTTCAGGGAAGTCTCCAACCACAATCCCCCACAAACCACTCACCCCTCAACCAGATGTGACTTCTCAGATGAACTGTGTTCCCCTAAGTGTGTGCCCCTAAATGTCCTCATTCCTGGGGGGCAACTCTTGCTTCTTTTGCTTTCACAGTGGAAAACAGGCAGAAGCTTCGGGCTGATGAGCTGCGGAGAGAATATTACGAGGAACAAAGGAATGAATTTGAGAACTTTGTGGAGGAACAAAACGATGGTAAGAACTCTTCAGCCAGTGTCTTCAGGGAGGTGGAGCTTTGGGGAGAAATCACATGGTTTGTTTTCTCTTCTTCTACCCAACTTTTTGTGTGTATGTGTGTGTGTTTTTTTGAGACAGAGTCTTGTTCTGTTGCCCAGGTTGGAATGCAGTGGCGCAATCTTGGCTCACTGCAACCTTCACCTCCCAAGTTCAAGCGATTCTCCTGCCTCAGCCTCCAGAGTAGCTGGGATTACAGACGCCCCCAGCTAATTTTTGTATATTTAGTAAAGACAGGGTTTCTCCATGTTGGCCAGGCTGGTATTGAACTTTTCATTGGAGGAGGGAGAAAAGGGAAGGTCTACTTTCAATTCATATCCACAAGAGCCTTGAAAAAAAGGGAGGGCCAGGCGCAGTGGCTCGTGCCTGTTATCCCAGCACTTTGGGAGGCCGAGGCGGGTGGATCACCTGAGGTCAGGAGTTTGAGACCAGCCTGGCCAACATGGCGAAACCCCATCTCTACTAAAAATACAAAAATTAGCTGGGCGTGCTGGCGCACGCCTGTAATCCCAGCTACTCCACAGACTGAGGCAGGAGAATCACTTGAATTCGGGGGCAGAGGTTGCAGTGAGCCAAGATTGCGCCACTTCACTCCAGCCTGGGCAACAAGAGCGAAACTCCATCTCAAAAAAAAAAGAAGGGAGAAAAATGGCTACACAGAACTTGAGAAGGTGTGGAAGGGGACAGAATACCCTTATTCCCATTGGCTTGGGGACTGTGGGGATGGGGCAACTGTTTGCTGACTGCGTGGATATAAAACTCCTTTCCCTCCCTCCTCCTACTTGGGCATCACCGTGCCGGTCTGTGTTCTCCGTCTAAGCACGAGAACTTAGGCTTAAGTTCCTTGGTAGGATCATATTGGGCAGATTCCAAACTCACTCACAGGTGCCTTATATCCACGTCAATGTCCTGGCTCCAGGTCCTTCTCCATCCTGGAAAATCAAGACCTTTATTGACCTATTCAATGTACTCAGCCTCTTTACTTCCTGGCAGAAGCAAACCAGGAAAACTGAACTCAGAAAACACCTTGCCTTCTACCCTCTCACCCCAGCCCCAGCATCGACATCTACAGCCCATCTTCAGGCTCCAACTCATCCAAAAACATCAGATCCCTAAAAATTTCTGTATGGTTTTCTTGTGGCTTTATGCTTCTCCTATTTGTATCCTCTTCGCTAAGCCTTGGTCTTTTGCTTACTAGCAAAAAATAAAGAGTAGGAAAGGCCCAGGGAGGCCAAGAGTTTTCGGGGGCTGAGGCGGGCGGATCACTTGAGGTCAGGAGTTTGAGACTACCCTGGCCAACATGGTGAAACCCCGTCTCTACTAAAAATACAAAAAAATTAGCCAGGCGTGGTGGCGCACACCTGCAGTCTGAGCTACTCGGGAGGCTGAGGCAGGCGAATTGCTTGAAACTTGGAGGCGGAGGTTGCAGTAAGCTGAGATCACACCACTGCACTCCAGCCTGGGCAACAGAGCCAGACTCTGTCTCAAAGGAAAAAAGGCCCAGAGAGACCAGTGTCTTTGGCCAGGCAATCTGCACACTTCATTCCTGTCCTCAACCCCTCAGTAGACAGGGTTCCTGTCTGCTCTCAGAAAGTGTTGGCTGCACCAGGGCTCAGTGGAGGATGGTGCGGCTGGGGACACGGGTAGAGGATGCCCTGCCTTTGAGCCACAGCCTCCCATGGGGTGGAATTTAATTTTGCTGTCTATGAAGTACCCTCAAGGGTCACCCACACCAAACATCCTTAAGACCATTTAATGGGGATCAGACCAGTATACTAGAGAATATGTGTGTGTGTTTATTTCTTTTCCTTTTTTTTTTTTGGGGGGAGGGGGATGGAGTCTTGTTCTGTCGCCCAGGCTGGAGTACAGTGGCATGATCTCAGCTCACCACAAACTCCACTTCCGAGTTCAAGAGATTCTCCTGTCTCAGCCTCCCGAGTAGCTGGGATTACAGGTGTGCACCACTACGCCCAGCTAATTTTTTGTATTTTGGGTAGAGACAGGGATTTACCATGTTGGCCAGGCTGGTCACGAACTCCTGACCTCAAGTAATCTGCCCATGTCAGTCTCCCAAAGTGCTGGGATTATAGGCGTGGGCCACTGCACCTAGCCCTGTTTATTTATTTATTTATTTGTTTATTTGGTCTTTGTCCAAATTTCAAGATTGTAATACTCCTGAGGAAAATCACCTGGTACTTCCTGGGTGCACGTGAACTTGGACATGAGGCCCCAGTTTAGGTCGCCTTTGTTGGAGGGAGTCAGCTCTTTCAGTTCTCCTGGCTGTTTGCTCTGATGGACTGGGGAGGCAGCACCCTCGGAAGGCATCTCCTAGTGAAAAGGAAATCACCCCAGGTCAAGTGCTACAGGCTGTGCCCATTGCCCTGCAGGTGGCACCTGGCTGAGCCCTGCAAACAGGTGTTGGGCTTGGATCCTGGCAAATCAAACTTCCTTAGGAACGTACTGGGAAAACTTCAGGCTGTGACAGCTTGGAAGCACACGCTTCTGCTAGAGATGTGTTTATCTTGGTGGGCAGCTGGGGGAGAAGCATTTAAAAGTTGAGAATGTAGCCTTCAAAATTCCTTCAGTGTGATTTGGACTCATACTATTAAAATAGTATTCTATTTTGAGCAGTTTTAAATGTTTTAGGTTCAAAACTCTAGCATGGAGATGGAAAAACATTCACTGTTTTCCCTTTCGTGATGAATTCGGGATGCAGGGTTGGGCGCCTGCAGGTCCTCTTACAGGAGAGGGAGACAGGAGGCCCTAGGTCTTGCCCACACAGATGGAGAAAACACAGGTCTTTGGGGAATACAGTTCCAGAAGCTGTTGTCCTTGAGCCCTTGCTCTGCCGGGCACTGTAAGGGGCCACCTAATCCTCACAACCTGCCTCTGAGACAGGTCTTACAATTTCCAGCTCATGGTTTCAAAAACTGAGGCTCAGGCTGGGCACTGTGGCTCACACCTGTAATCCCAGCACTTTGGGAGGCTAAAGTGGGAGCATCACTTGAAGCCAGGAGTTCAAGACCAGCTTGGGCAACTAAGCGAGGCCCTGTCTCTACAAAAGAAAAAAAAATTCAATTAAAAAACATAAGGCGGGCATGGTGGCATGTGCCTGTAGGCCCAGCTACTCTGGAGGCTGAGGCAGGAGGATGGCTTTAACCCAGGAGCTCGAGACCAGCCTGAGCAACATAGAGAGACACTGTCTTAACAAAAATGAGAAAATTAGCTGGGCTGCTGGCATCTGCCTGTAGTCCCAGCTACTTGGGTGGTTGAGAGAGGATCGCTTGATCCTGGGGAGTTCAAGGCTAGAGTGACTATGATCATGCCACTGCACTCCAGCCTGGGCAACACAGCAAGACCCTGTCTCAAAAACAAACAAACAAACAAACAAACAAACCCACATCAAAAATAAAAAAACTGAGGCTTAGAAAGGATACATGAATACCCAATGAGACGTAGGTAGTAGATAGCCCTAGCATTAGAACCCCAAGGCTTATTTGCCAGCAAAGCTCCTGTTCTTGTAAATCAACGATGAGCAAATGCACAGAGGTCTTGGAGGGCTTCTTTGATCCACGAATTGGCCCCTGGATGGAGTGAGTGAGAAAGATAAAGCAGAGTAGCCCTCAGGGGGTCTCCCCAGAGCTCCATCAAGGCAGGGGTCACAAGGTGGAGCAGGCCTGGCCTCCTGAGGATGAGTTTTGGAAAAGGTGGAAATCATATCAATCTTCTCTCCTCTCCCTTGCCTTTGGCTCACAGTGTTGCACAGGGTCTTGCTTGCCTGAAACCATCCCTGGGGCTCAAGGTGTCTGACTTCTAAGCCCTCCCCTGAGGCCCCTGACATACCTGTCAGTCAGGACCCTGGTTTCAGCTAGCTGTCTTATCTAACCAAGTTACCTACTCTTTTTTTTTCTTTTTCTTTTTCTTTTTCTTTTTGACGGAATCTCGCTCTGTCGCCCAGGGTGGAGTGCAGTGGTGCAGTCTCAGCTCACTGCAACCTCCACCTCCCAGGTTCAAGTGATTCTCCTGACTCAGCCTCCTGAGTAGCTGGGATTACAGGCCACCACGCCCTGCTAATTTTTGTATTTTTAGTAGAGACGGGGTTTCACCATGTTGGCCAGGCTGATCTTGAACTCCCGACTTGAGGTGATCCACCTGCCTTGGCCTCCCACCGTGCTGAGATTATAGGCGTGAGCCCCTGAGCCCGCTCCCGAGTCACCTAAGGGTTACTGATAGCAGTTGGATATTCGACATCTCCCCAAAGTACTTAACTTCATAAAAGGATGCCCACCAGGTACCACGTCTCAAGCCTGTAGTCCCAGGACTTTGGGAGGCCAAGGTGTTTAGCCCTGGCAACATAACGAGACCCCGTCTCTGTTAAAAATTAGCCGGGCATGGTGGTGCATGCGTGTAGTCCCAGCAACTTGGGAGGCTGAGGCTGAAGAATCACTGGAACCCAGGAGGCTGCCGTGAGCTATGATTGCGCCACTGCACTTCTGCTTGGGCAATAGAATGAGAACTTGTCTCAGAAACAAAAACAACAAAAAAAGCGATGCTGAATCAACTTCTACGTCAAAACCACACTCTCAGGGTTGGCAAAGAGTAGCTGGTCTACTGGGCTTGAGAAATGTCCGAAAGACCTGAAGATGAACACACAAAGCTCTGGCCTGGGCCTGGCTCTGTGAGCTCCAGGCTGACCCTGGGCTATCAAGTACCTAATGGGATTTTCAGCACCAAGGGGAGCACCAGCTTTGTGCCCACATAGGAAGGAAACACTCCTGGCAGCTGTGGTGCCTCAACATGCCCTGGTCACTGGGCCCTGCACCCAACTGGGCCAAGGTGAGACTAGGCCTGAGCACGCAGCTCTCACGGGTGCTAAGGACCAAAGCAACATTCTCATTCCTCATACCCTGAAGCCACCAGGCGGTCCTGTTGGCCATTGCCACAGAGGATGCCAGTTTCACTTTCTATAGTACCAAAATCAGGTTCATGGGCTTCTTGGTGAGGTCCACATTTGAGGAAACAGAGGTGAGAAAGACATCTTGGTTCTTTAATTCTTGACATTACCTTCTGTTAGGACTTCCCATCCTTCCAACATCTTTGACAAATGCATTTTAAAAATGTGGTAAAACACACATAACATAAAACTTGCCATTTAAACTCTTTCTTTCTCTTCTTTCTTTTCTTTCTTTGCTTTCTCTTCTTCTTTCTTCTTTCTTTTCTTTTTTCTTCGTGTGGGCATGTGTCGCGTGTTTCAGTCGTATTCAGTCGTGGTTCTGGTTCGATTGTTGGGG